GAGATTTGGTGCGAGAGGACAGACAGCCGTGCCAAGCCATATCGGTCTTCCATCCACATTTGGGGTGCTCCCAACCTCGCACCCAATGAATGGGTGAAAGTGCAGGAGGATAATGTTATGCTGCGGTTCAGTGCTGCCTTGGCGCTCGCGGTCCATCCTGTGAACTGCCCAGCTGTTCTATTGCATGCCAGCCCTCTCTGATCTCCGCACCCCTTCCTTGCCCTTGGGAGTTGCCCGGACTTGATTTGATTTTTAGTGGCGCGTGCAAATCTAATTTCAGCTTGTATATCTGTGATTCGGTCGAGTTTACATTGGGCGTCCGCGTTTCTCATGGCCCTTCTCTCGAGCATGATCTCGGATCAGGTTTGGATTGTCAAGTTGGCTTCAGGTCCAGCTCTGCCACTTGGCCATCCTCCATGTGCCGAATCACTGCGGCTTGTTTATGTGAGCGCGTCGCTGGATCGGCCCCCAAGTGTGCGGTTAGGCAGTTCGCACCTGCAGATGTTCTGGGTGCCCCATGGTACAAGCCTATTGACCCATATTGGGGGTCGGTCGGGAGCGCCGCCGTCGGCGGCGTTGAGGCTTGCCCGCGCCTTTTGTCATTTTCTATTTTTTCTTCCATGTGCATGTTGCACTGTTGTGGGCACCGCGGACACATCGTCTTTCACGGGAGTGCGCCGGCAGAGGAGGACGGGGCGTCTTGGGAGCCTTTGAGGGCACTCTTGGGCCTCCTGGGGGCTTCCTGGGAGCCTCTTGGGGGCATCTTCGGGGTTTCCTTGGGCCCTTTCGGGGCCTTTGTGGGCTTCTCGAGGGCTTCTTTGGTCGTCTCAGGGCATTCCTGGCCCGTCCTACGCCGTCGGAAGCCGTCGTGCGGGCCTCTCTGAGCCGATCGGAAACCCTCTTGGGGTGCTCCAGGGCAGTCTTGGAGGCCATCGTGGGCGTCTTGGAGACCTCGTGGGCGATCTTTGGGGGCTGTGGGGCCGTCCCGTGCAGTCGGAAGGCCGAAAAGAAGCACATGCTAAACCCCTTCAAGAACCGATGGGCAATCACTGATTTTGACTTATCCGGGCCTTCCTGGAGGCCTCTAGGGCCGTCTTGGAGGCGTCTTGGAAGCCTTTCAGGCCGTCTTGGGCCATCTTGGGCCATCTTCGTGGGCTCCTGGCCCGTCTGACGCCGTCTGAAGCTGTCTTGGGGGCCTGTCTGGGCCGACTGGGTGCCCTCTTGGGGGGGTGTTCCAGGGCCGTCTTGGAGGCCATCTTGGGCGTCTTGGAGGCATCTTTGGGAGTATTGTCGCCCTCCTGTGGCGGTCTTGGGGGCCTCTCGGGCCGTTCTGGGGTCATCTTGGAGGCCTCGTGGGCGATCTTGGGCCGAAGAGAAGCCAGTGGTAAACTCTTCCACGTATCTCAGTAACATCAATGATTTGGGCCTCTTCGGGCCTTCCTGGGGGCCCTCTTGGGGGCCTCTTGGGCCGTCTTGGAGGCCATTTGGGGGCCTTTTGGGCCGTCTTGAGCCATCTTAGAGCCAGCTTAGGCCATCTTGGCGGGCCCCTGGCCCGTTTGACGCCGTCGGAAGCTGTCTTGGGGGTTTCTCTGGGCCGACTGGAGGCCTTCTCGGGGTGTTCCAGGGCCGTCTCGGAGGCCATCTTGGGCGTCTCGGAGGCATCTTGAGCCGTCCTGTCGCCCTCCTGGGGCGGTCTTGGGGGCCTCTTGGGCCGTTCTGGGGCCATCTTGGAGGCCTTTCGGGCGATTTTGGGGCGATATCGGGGAGCTTTTGGGCTATCTCGGGCCGTCGGGAGGCCGAAGAGAAGCAAATGGTAAACTCCTTCAAAATCCGAAGGAGAATCAATGATTTTGACATCTTCGGGCCTTCCTGGATGCCCTCTTGGAGGCCTCTTGGGCCGTCTTGGAGGCCTCTTGGGGGCCTTTTAGGCCGTCTTGGGCCATCCTAGAGCCATCGTGGGCCATCTTGGCGGGCCCCTGGCCCTTCAGTCGCCGTCTGAAGCTGTCTTGGAGGCCTCTCTGGGCCGACTGGGGGCCCTTTTGGCGTGTTCAAGGGCCGTTTTGGAGTCCAGGGCCGTCTTGGAGGCCATCTTGGGCGTTTTGGATGTATCTTGGGCCGTCTTGTGGCCCTCCTGGGGCGGTCTTGGGGGCCTGTTGGGCCGTCAGGGGGCCACCTTGGAGGCCTCTTGGGCGATCTTGAGGCGATATTTGAGTGCTTTTGGGCCGTCTCGGGCTGTCGGAAGGCCGAAAAGAAGCAAATGCCAAACTCTCTCAACAACCTAAGGAAAATCAATGATTTTGACCTCTTCGGGCCGTCCTGGAGGCCCTCTTGGAGGCCTCTTGGGCCGTCTTGGATCCCTCTTGGGGGGCCTTTTAGGCCGTCTTGGGCTATCTTAGAGCCATTTTGGGCTATCTTGGTGGGCTCCTGGCCCGTCTGACGCCGTCGGAAGCTGTCTTGGGGGCCTCTCTGGGCCGACAGGGGGTCCTCTTGGGGTACTCCAGGGCTGTCTTGGAGGCCATCTTGGGCGTCTTGGAGGCCTCCTGGGCCGTGTTGGCCTCCTGGGCCGTGTTGGGGCCATGTTGGAGGCCTCTCTGGCGATCTTGGGGCGATCTATGGGGGCTCTTGGGCCGTCCCGGACCGTCGGAAGGCCGAAAGAAGCAAGTGCCAAACTCTTTCAACAACCAAAGGAAAGTCAATGATTTTGGCCTCCTTGGGCCATCCTAGAGAACCTCTTGGAGGCCTCTTGGGCCGTCTTGGAGCCCTCTTGGGAGGCCCTTGGGGCCGTCTTGGTGATTTCGTGGGCGGACTTGGAGGCATCTTGGACCCTCTTGGGCCGTCTTGGAGGCCATCTTGGACCATCTTAGGCGGACCCGGAGGCCATCTTGGGCCGTATGGCCGTCTTGGAGGCATCTTGGAGTCCATTTGGGGCCATCTTGGGCGTGAAAGGCATTGACTTTAGCTGTTTCCGGTCCCTTCTGGGTGGCTGGCGGGACGGGCCAGAGCCCCAGGGTAGAGTTCTTTTGGAAAAAGAATCCAAACCAAACCGAAAGGATCCAGCACGCCGGGCACCCCTGTGACAAGCACAGAGGGCGGCGGATCGAAGACGCCTACGGCGGATCACCGCCGCCCCCTGCCCTTGTGAAAGCGCCTATGTCCGACAGCTGGGCCAGAGCTTGGCCGAGCTATCGGACCATGTGTTCCCCGAGTCGGTTTGGAAAGGTTTCGGGGAACGCGGGGGGAGGAAGGAGAGGAGGAGGAGAAGGAGGAAAAAGGAGAAGGGGGAGGATGCCTCTTCGGAGCCTCTTGAGGCACTCTTGGGCTCAATTGGGCCATATTGGGAACGTCTTGGAGACCATGTTGGGGCTATCTTGGGCTCTCTTGGGGCCTCTTGAGGGCCTCATCGGGCCATTCTGGGGCCTCTCAGGGGCTTCTTTGGCCGTCTTATGGCGTTCCTGGCCCGTCTGACGCCGTCGGGAGCCGTCTTGGGGGCCTCTCTGAACCGACTTGGGGCTCTCTTGGGGCGCTTCGGATCCGTCTTGGAGGCCAGCTTGGCCGTCTTGGAGGCCAATTGGGCCTCTTTGGGGCCCTCTTGGGGCCTTCTTGGGGGTTTCTTGGGCCGTCATGGGGCCATCTTGGAGGGCTCGTGAGCGATTTTGGGGCGATCTTGGGGGCCTCTTGTGCCGTCTTGAGGTCTTCGAATGGCCGAAAAGAAGCAAACGCCAAAATCCTTTAAAAAGCTGCGGAACACCCATGATTTTGGCCTCTTCGGGCTCTCCTTGAGGACCTCTTGGGGGCGTCTTGGGGGGCTCTTGGGGGCCTCTTGGGCCGTCTTGAACCATCCTGAGGCTATCTTAAGCCGTCTTGGAGGCATCTTGGGCCATCTTAGAGGCATCTTGCGACCATCTGGGCAGTCTTGGAGGCCATGTTGGCCCTCTTGGAGGCGTCTTGGAGGCCATCTTGGGCCGTCTTGGAGCCGTCTGGAGCAGGAAAAACCCTTGGCAACCACTTCTGAGCAAGCTGGAAGATCTTTCCGGGTGGCCGGCGGGAAGGGCCGAAGCCCCAGGGGGAGTTCTTTTCGAAAAAGAACCACAACCAAGACCGAAAGGTTCTAGCATGCCGGGTGCCCTTGTGGCAAGACCACAGGGGGCGGCGGATTTTGGAAGCGCCTACGTGGCCGAACGTTGAGGCCAGACCTGCCCAGCTATCGAACCATGTGTTCCCCGAATCGGTGTGGAAAGTCTTCGGGGAACACGTGGGCATCTTGAAGGTCATCTTGGCCGCCTGGAGGCCATTTTGACCCTTTCGGGCCTTCTTGGAGGACGTCTTGGAGGGCTCTTGAGTCGTCTTGGAGGCCATCTTGAGCGTCTTGGAGGCCTCTTGGGCCGTTTTGGGCGCCTTTTGGGGCCGTCTTGGGCCTCTTGGGCGATCTTTGGGGGCACTTGGGCCGTCTCGGGCCGTCGGAAGGCAGAAAAAATGGTTGTGCGTCGCACGTGATTGCTGTGAGGTTCTTTATATGTTGCAGCCCTCCAGCAGCCCCCCATATCGCTGCTGGGGCTCAAGCTTTTCGGCGGGTATGCGAGCCTACCCGACCAGCGCGATAGGCGCCGTGGTCACGTTCCTGGCTGGGTTCGTGGCGCACGACGTGCTGGGGCCCGCGCTGGTGCACGAAGCGAGCGGCCTGCCCCCGCGCAGCGGTCCTGGCCACGAGCTGGAGGCCAGCTCGACGAGCAGCACCTCCACGAGCACCAGCACCGTGCTGGCTTGCTCGTGCCCGGCGCCGCCGGCGCCGAAGGAGCCCGAGCCCGCGCCGCTTCGAGTGGCGGGCGCGGGACCCGGCGCGACCGTGGAGGTGCCGCTGGCCGCGGTGCTGGGCGGCGGGGCGCTGGCGACGCTGGCCGCTGCTGCTGGCTGTCGGAGCCGAGTGGAGGACCACGCAGTGGCACGCAAGGTGCTCGAGCCGATAGGTGAAGCTCGGATCCACCTGGCCTAGCTCAGTGACGATGGCTGACGACAATACTTGCCCTGGGCTTAGGGTGTTGGTGACGTACAGTGACGACCCGGGCTGGACGCACGAACGAGTATTATTGTGGCCTCACAATGAGGCTCGCACAAGCTGGCAGATCTACACGCCTGGCAACGATTTATACGCCGAGGACTTCGGCGACTACGCATCGCTCATCCCGATGACGGGGCGGAGGCGGTATCCCCCAGGCGTCGGGAACGTGGTGGCGTTCAACAGGGGGCTGCAGGCGGCTGAGCTGGTCTCGCTCATCAAACGCGGTCGGGGCGAAGCCGTCCTCGAGCACGGGCCGCCAGCAAACGGCTGGTGGGCTGGCGCTGGCCAGGATTGGCTCGGAGGCAGGCTGGACATCCCCGCGCCGACGGCCGTGGAGGTCCCTCGCGTGCGGCGCCGCCTGCGCAAGAAGGGCGTGGAGGTGCAGACCGACCTCCCTGTGCTCGTTGATGGAAGCCCACCGTCCCCGCCGCCGCCTTCGGAGCGGCCGCCAGGATCGTGGGTGCGTTGCTCATTCGAGGACAGCGACTTCGGCCAGATGGTGCCCCTCTCGGCGGCCGCCATCCTGCGGGGCCGCTACGGGCTCGACAGGGATGAGATGGGCGAGTGGCGGTTCATAGAGTATGTGGAGGACGATCAGGCCGACAGCTGGCGAGACGACAAGCTGATAGCGGCGGATCGGCAGCGACCTCCCCGGGGCGCCCTCGGGGATCGGCTCTTCGGCGGTGGCGGAGGCGGCGCCGCAACGCCCCCTGCGGAGCCCGCGGTTGCGGCCGTCGCAGCTGGCACTGGCGAGGAGCAGGCCGAGGATTTACGCACGTGCCGGATCGATGTTGACGAGACAGGCTCGAGGGTCAAAGAATGGCGCAAAGTGGTGCAGGAGAGCTCGCAGGAGGTGTTTTCGGACTCAAGCCTGCGTGGGCCGCCCGCTTGCCTTGAGGTGTGCCGCAAGATGTATCGTCACGGCGGCGCGCCCAAGATCTGGTTCCAGGAGTGTTGCAAGGAGACGGGGATCTCTCGACGGGATCGCGGATACCACGAGGTGCAGACACTCATCGAGTGGTTGTACCTCGCGGGCACCTACGACCAGGTGAACATGGGAGCGCTGGCGTCGCTGGAGGTGATCGCCCGCCGGCTGCTGCAGTATACGGAGGCGTACGCACACGGAGCGGACCACGCGCACTGGCCGGCGGCGAAGCACCTGGCGGGGACGACGAACCCGCTGGACCTGGTCCCCGAGGCGCTGCGGAGCTACGCCAGCCGGCTGAGCAAGGAGGAGCACGAGCTAGAGGCGTTACGGGCGCGGGCCAAGACGCCTATGGCCCCTTCGGCTGAGGGTGGCCGAGGCGCCGCGGCTGCCGCGGTGGACGCTGGCGGCTTGCCGCTTGGAGGCGGCGCTGGAGGTGACGGAGCTGGAGATGCTGCTGATGCTGGCCGTGGCCGTGGCCGTGGCCGAGGGCGAGGCGGGCGGGGCCGCGCCCCCCGCCCGCCGGCCTCATGACGTCCTCGGCGGAGGGGGGCGGGCGCCCGACCGCTCCCTGCAGATCGAAGGGCGCCAGTGGGCTTCGCGGCGCCTCCTTCCTGCCGCTGGCCCACCTGAGCGAGCTGCCTCCCGAGTGGTGCGAGGGGCTCAGCGCGGCGCAGCGCCGGCGCTGGCTTCGGGGCGGCAGCGCTGCCTGCGAAAGCTTGAATTACTTGCATGGAGGCATCCACCGAGGCGGTCGGGCACCAGTGAGCTTGATCAGCCAGATGAAGATGGATGCTATTTCGGCGGACGTGCAGCAGCGCGTCCTCTCGGCGGCCCGCCAGTGGATAGACGTTGACAGCGCCGTCAGTGAGGAAGAGGCCCTTGCCAGGCTTCTTAAGGGCAAGGCGGGGTACGCCCCCCTTGGCTCGACCAGCATGGGCCCCTACGAGTACTCGCGGGCGAGCTTGCCTGACAGCGTCGTCGACGCGCCGGCGCTGGCCTCCATGCTTCCTGCGCAGGCAAGGCAATACCTCGAGGAGCTTGCTTCCAGGATGCTGCTGCCGCCACGGGAAGCAGCCCTAATACGAGAACTTGATGGGCTTCCTGGTTGTCACACCGACCCTCTGTTGCTGCAACGGCCGCGGAGCTATGGGAAGTTCGCGCGGCGAGCGCTCTCGATAGGTCTAGTCACTTCGACACGGAGGCCTAAGAGTGTGCTTGGATTATTTTTTTGTGAAGAAGAAGGATGGGGCTCGTCTTCGCCTCATCGTCGACTGCAGGCGGAGCAACGCCTTGCACCGCCCTCCTCCTGGGGTCGACCTGCTGTCGGGCGAGGGGCTCGGCCGCATAGAGATGCCCATCATAGAGGACTCCGACTTCGCCGGGCTCTGCGCGGTGCTTGGCGTGGGCGACGTTGCCGACTGCTTCCGCAGGATGAAGCTGCAGGGCGACATCAGGCACTTTTTTTGCTGGCCTCCGCTGGGCGCTGCTTTGACTGGGGAGACACTGGTCGAGGGGCGCCTTGTGCACGCTGGCGAGCAGGTGTGGCCGATGAGCCAGAGCCTGCCTATGGGCTTTTCTTGGTCCTTGTACTTCGCCCAGGCCGCCAACCAGTGCAGGCTCGATCGCCAGCCGTCGCTAGCGGGTAGCCTGCGTTTGAGCGATCGCGGGCCGCCGCTTGTCCTTGGACAGGGCGCCGCGGGGTCGGAGCTGGGCCACTACATGTACGTCGACAATGCTGGCGTGATTGGTTTCGACGCAGCGCGTGCGACAAGCGCGCCGCAGGAGGCCCAACGTGACTTCGACGGCGACCACCTGAAGTTCCACGAGGTTGAGGTGCTGCCTGAAGGGGGTCGTACCCTGGGCTGCTATCTCGACGGCAGGCGCCGAGCGACCCGCCCTACTGACGAGAGGTTCGCCATGGTGCGGAAGGGGTTGAGGTGCCTGTTGAAGTGACGCAAGGTTGCCGGCTGGCAGCTGGAGATGGTGCTGGGGCACATGACCTTCATGGCCCTGGTCCGCCGCGAAATGCTGCCCATCTTCCACTCGGTGTATGCTTTTGTGGCGCAAAGCTACCACGCCTTCTCCGTGCTGTGGCCCACCGTGCGCGATGAGTTGAACTGCTACCTGGGCATCATGGTGATGCTGGAGTCGAGCTGGACGAGGCCGTGGACGCCAGTGGTCTACTCCTCCGACGCCAGCCTGTACGGCTACGGCGTTGCGGAGGCCTGCTTCGGGACCGAGACGGCGGCGAAGGTTGGCCGCGTTTCGGAGCTGGCGCGGCGGCGGCTGGGTGCTGGGTTGGCGAGGCAGCACGCCTTCGAGTGCGCTGGCTTCCTCTTGGACAGCGAGACCGACGAGGTCGTCCGAAATGAAGTTGGAGCCCCGAAGCGGCTGGACGCCGAGCTCCAGCGCGTGCTGGCCAGCGAGCGCTGGGAGCTGGACCCGAGCTTCCCCGAGGTGCCCAGCTGGCTCCTGCACGACTCGCATTGGGCCACGGTCATGGCCGATCGGTGGGCGTTCGCCGACGACATCCTTAGACTCGAGGCACGAGCGCTAGTGAAGGCTGCAGCTCGTGCCGCGCACTGCCAGCCTGTAAAAGAATGCCGTTCTCTTTTGTTAGGAGATAATCTCGCTGTCGTGTTGTGTTTTTGCTTGTTCAGGTCCAGGGATTTCCGGCTTCTAATTCAGGTCCGCCGTTTTGCTGCCCTGTGCCTTGCTGGAGACATTAAGTTTGTTGTTCGTTGGATTCCGTCTGAGTTCAACTCTGGCGACGAGGGAAGTCGAAGGTTCGATCTGGCTTATGATGCCCAGAAGTCCCTCGTTACCCATCTTGGCTCAAACTCGCTGTCACCCCAGGTTCCTGCGAGCCCTGTCGATGCTCCCGCGGCGGGGGCCCGCGGCAGGAGAGAGCAGTCGGCGGCTGATGACGAGCCGACCTGCGGTGCCGACGCCAGCCGCCCCCCTCGAGACGGGCCGGAGGCGGGCGCGGGCGCTGAGCAGCCCTGGTCGCCGACTGGAGTCAGGGGGGCCGCCGCCGCAGCTGAGGTCCCGCTCGCTGGATCAGAGCCGGGGGCCGGCCGCGAGGCTGAGGGCGCTGCCCGACCGCCGCGGCAGAGCCCAGTAGCAAGTTGCTGGCGGCTGAGCCCCGACGAGCCCCGCCTGGCCGACAAGGCCGTTGCAGGCCACGGGGTTGCCGAGGTCGCGGCGGAGAGCGAGAGCGTCGAGAGCAGCGACGCCGAGGAGCCGCCGGCTGCTGCGCGCTCCCGAGGGCGTCTGGAGACGCGCGGGAAGGCGCGGATCAGGAAGGCGATCGAGGTGCTCGAGACCGCAGAGTCGGGCAGGGACGACGTGAGGTTGGGCATCAGCTACCTCGGGAAGAGATCGGTGCGGGCAGGCACCTGGGAGACTTACCGCCAGTGCGTGCTCGTAATCTGCGCCTGGGCCCGCTTCTGCCTCACGGCCCTGCCCGAGTTCAAGGAGCTGGACGGCCAGCTGGTCGAATACATGAGCGAGGAGTTCTTGACGGGTGTCAAGGCCTGGCGGGGCGAGAAGCTGCTCGCCAGGCTGATGTTCTTCCACCCAGACTTCGGCCGCCTGGGCGGGCTACATCTTCCGAGATCAGTGCGCCGCCTGAGAGGGTGGGAGAAGCTTTCACCATCTCGATCTCGGAAGCCCTTGGTGTCCGCGATCTGTGCGGCGTTGGCAGTGGATCTCTGCCGCCTGGGGGCGCCTCTAGTGGGCGCGATGGTGCTGATCATGGTCGAGTGCTACCTTCGGCCAGGAGAGATGCTGAGCCTCACGAGCGACTCATTTCTAGCGCCGACGGGGCATGCAGTGCAGAACTGGGTTGTATGGCTGTTTCCAGAGGCTGGGGGGGCTCGAAGCAAGGTGGGGTCAGCGGACGATACCATCCTTTGCGGGTCAGGACGTTTGCCGTGGATGTGTCACAACTTCAAGGCCTTGAAGGATCGTCGGCCATCCCGGCCCCTCCTGGACTTGAGCTACCCGCAATACCTGACCCTCTTCCGGAGAGCGGCCACGAACATCGGAGCCGACGTCGTCCCATGCCAAGGCCGGCACAGCGGCGCATCGCTGGATCGGGCGACGGGACGACGTTCTCTGGAAGAAATGCAAAGAAGGGGGCGATGGGCGGCGATGATTTCGATGAAGAGATACGAAAAAATCAGGACGACTGAGCGAGAGTCTGGAGAAGCTGGGCGACGTCTCCGTGGCACACTGCGCCGTGACGGCGAAGCTGGTGCAGGATGTGCCGCTGCTGGGACGGCCCGCGCTTGCGCCGCCGTCCGGCGGCCGCGAGGGCTCTCGCGGGCTCCGCTGAGCTCGCAACTGGCCGCTGTTTCTGCGCCGTATCTGCTGGATCTCTTTTCTGGCGGGGGCGGAGTCGGAGGCTTTGCCACGCGACTGGGTTTCAATTCAGTATCGTTGGACCTGCGAAATGGGGAGGATCAGGATGTGTACAGCGCCAATAATCTAGATGCAATTCTCGTCCGTTTTAGGGCTGGGCTCATCGAAGCAGTCATGTTGACACCTCCTTGCTCTTCGTTCTCTCTGGCTCGCAACAGATATCCTGTCAGGAGCGCAATATCCAGAGGGCTTGCCATCCCTGCGCCCAACCGACCAGACTACGGTCAGTATAGGAAATCTCTGTAAGCGTGTGGCTGTGTACATTGTTCGGTTGTGCCATGTTTTCGGAGTGCCGTTCGCTTTGGAGAACCCGCAGACTTCGTACATGTGGCGATGCCAAGATATCATGAAGCATGTTTTAAGTTGTCGCCGAACTCTGGATCTGCATCAGTGCGCTTTCGGATCCAGGTGGCGGAAAGCGACCAAGTTGGCTCTGGGATGCGTCACGGAGGCGGGGGACTTCGCCTTAACCTTCCCGGGTGCTCTGCGTTGCCGAGGCAAACACGGGCACTGTTGCCTCAGGCCTGGCCAGAAACATGTCGTTTTGGAAGGAAAGGCTATGACTATGAAAGCCGCTGCGTAGCCCTTTCGCTTCGCTCGTTGGCTGCGCACTGTTCTGCTCGACTTGTGAACAAGGGTGATCCGCTAGTGGCATACCATCTCCCATCATATGCAGAGGTTGACGCCTTCCCCGACATGCGCTGAATGGTCTATACCGCTACGCTGAGAACTTCGGCTTTGCGAAAATGTTGGAGTGTGTTCGCCGTTTGCACGTCTCGATAACCTGGTCGCGACCATATGGTGTCAGAGTTCACCACGGAAAAGACGTCAGAGCATGGTTGTGCGTCGCACGTGATTGCTTTGAGGTTCTTTATAGGTTGCAGCCCTCCAGCAGCCCCCCATATCGCTGCTGGGGCTCAAGCTTTCCCACCCTCAGCCACCCTGGACCTGCCCTATATAGTGCACGCCCCTTTTCACATTTTAACCTTCTTCACCCCCTCCTCTCGTCAGGAGTGTGTTTGCCGTTTGCACGTCTCGATAACCTGGTCGCGACCATATGGTGTCAGAGTTCACCACGGAAAAGACGTCAGAGCAAACAAATGCCACAATCCTTCATGGGAAATCAATGATTTCAGCCTTTTCGGGCATTCCTGGAGGCCCTCTTGGAGGCCTCTTGGGCCGTCTTGGGCCGTCTTAGTGTCATCATCGGCCGTCTTGGCGGGCCCCTTGCCCGTCCGACGCCGTCGGAAGCCGTTCGGGGGGGCCTCTCTGAGCCGACTTGGGGCCCTCGTGGGTCGCTTCGGGGCCATCTTGGAGGCCATCTTGGGCGTCTTAAAATCCTTCTGGGCCTCTTGGGGCCTCTTGGGCCGTCTTGGGGGGCCATCTTGAGCGTTTTGGAGGCCTCTTGGGCCGTCTTGGGGGCCTCTTGGGGCCGTCTTGGGCATCTTCGGCGATCTTGGGGGGCGCTTGGGCCGTCTCGGGCCGTCGGAAGGCAGACAAAAAGGAAATGCCACAATCCTTCAAAAACTCATGGGAAATCAATGATTTCAGCCTTTTCGGGCCTTCCTGGGGGCCCTCTTGGAGGCCTCTTGGGCCGTCTTGGGCCGTCTTAGTGTCATCATCGGCCGTCTTGGCGGGCCCCTTGCCCGTCCGACGCCGTCGGAAGCCGTTCGAGGGGGGCCTCTCTGAGCCGACTTGGGGCCCTCGTGGGTCGCTTCGGGGCCATCTTGGAGGCCATTTTGGGCGTCTTAAAATCCTTCTGGGCCTCTTGGGGCCTCTTGGGCCGTCTTGGGGGCCTCTTGGGCCGTTCTGGGGCCATATTGGAGGCATCTTGGGCGATCTTTGGGCGATCTTTGGGGGCTCTTGGGCCGTATCGGGCCGTTGGAAAGCCGAAAAGAAGCAAATGTCAAGGTCCATCAACAGCCAATGGGAAGTCAGTGTTTTTGGCTTTTTCTTGCCTTCCTGGAGGCCCTCTTGGAGGCTCTCTTGGAGGCCTCTTGGGCCGTCTTGGGCCAGCTTCGGGCCAACTTCGGCCATCTTGGTGGGCTCATGGCCCGTCTGACGCCGTCGGAAGCCGTTTTGGGGGTCTTTCTGGGCCGATTTGGGGCCCTCTTGGGGCGCTTCGGGGCCGTCTTGGATGTCATTTTGGGTGTCTTGGAGGTCTCTTGGGCCGTCTTGGGGCCCTCTTGGGGCCTTCTTGGGGCCCTCTTGGGTCGTCATGCGGCCCTCTTGGAGGCCTCGTGGGCGATCTTGGGGCGATCTTGGGGGCCTCTTGGGCCGTCCTGAGCCGTCGGAATGCCAAGAAGAAGCAAATGCCAAAATCCTTCAAAAACCTAAAGACAATCAATGCTTTTGGCCTCTTCGGGCCCTCCTGGAGGACCTCTTGGCTTCTTGGGTCGTGTTGGGCCGTCTTGGCTTCTCGGGCGACCTTGGAGGTATCTTGGACTCTCTTGGGCCGTCTTGGAGGCCGTCTTGGACCATCTTGGGCGGATTTGGATGCCATCTTGGACCATCTTAAAGGCCATCTTGGGCCAACGTGGCCACTCTTGGAGGCCATCTTGAGCCGTCTTGGAGCAAACATTGAGGATTTGGGCTTGGGGCAGTGGCCGGCGGGACGGGCCGAAGCCCCAGGGGGTGAAAGAACCAAAACCCAAACGGAGAGGATTTAGCACGCCAGGCACTCCTGTGATGAATCAACAGGGGGCGGCGGATCGGAGACGCCTACGGCGAATCACCGCCGCCCCCTGCCTTTGTAGAAGCGCCTATGTGGCCGAACGTTGAGGCCAGACCTGCCCAGCTAGCGGACCATGTGTTCCCCGAATCGGTTTGGAAAGCCTTCGGGGAACACGTGGGCATCTTGAAGGTCATCTTGGCCGTCTGGAGGCCATTTTGACCCTTTCGGGCCTTCTTGGAGGACGTCTTGGAGGGCTCTTGGGCCGTCTTGGAGGCCATCTTGAGCGTCTTGGAGGCCTCTTGGGCCGTCTTGGGGGCCTCTTGGGGCCGTCTTGGGCATCTTGGGCGATCTTGGGGGGCGCTTGGGCCGTCTCGGGCCGTCGGAAGGCAGACAAAAAGGAAATGCCACAATCCTTCAAAAACTCATGGGAAATCAATGATGTCTGCCTTTTCGTGCCTTCCTAGAGGCCCTCTTGGAGGCCTCTTGGGCCGTCTTGGGCCATCGCACAGCCATCTTGGGCCGTTCTGGTGGGCTCCTGGCCCGTCCGACGCCGTCGGAAGCCGTTTGGGGGGCCTCTCTGGGCCGACTCGGGGCCCTCTTGGGGTGCTTCAGGGCCGTCTTGGAGGCCATCTTGGGCGTCTTAAAAGCCTCCTGGGCCGTCTTGGGGGCCTCTTGGGGCAGTCTTGGGGGCCACTTGGGCCGTTCTGGGGCCATCTTGGAGGCCTCTTGGGCGATCTTTGGGCGATCTTTAGGTGCTCTTGGGTCGTCTCGGGTCGTCGGAAGGCCGCACAGGAGCAAATGTCAAAATCCTTCAAAGGGCAAATCATTGTTTTTGGCCTTTTCTGGCTTTCCTGGAGGCCCTCTTGGAGGCCTCTTGGGCCGTCTTGGGCCAGCTTCGAGCCAACTTCGGCCATCTTGGTGGGCTCCTGGCCCGTCCGACGCCGTCGGAAGCTGTTTTGGGAGCCTCTCTGGGCCGACTCGGGGCCCTCTTGGGGTGCTCCAGGGCCGTCTTAGAGGCCATCTTGGGCGTCTTGGTGCGTCTTTGTGCCCTCTTGGGGCCGTCTTGGGGGCCTCTTGGGCAGTCCTGAGGCCATCTTGGAGGCCTCTTGGGCGCTGTGGGAGCCCGTCCGACGCCGTCGGAAGCCGTTTGGGGGGCCTCTCTGGGCCGACTTGGGGCCCTCTTGGAATGCTTCAGGGCCGTCTTGGAGGCCATCTTGGGCGTCTCAAAAGCATCTTGCCGTCTTGGGGGCCTCTTGGGGCCGTCTTGGGGGCCACTTGGGCCGTTCTGGGGCCTTCTTGGAGGCCTCTTGGGCGATCTTTGGGCGATCTTTGGGGGCTCTTGGGCCGTATCGGGCCGTCGGAAGGCCGACACGAAGCAAATGCCAAAATCCTTCGAACACCTAGGGAAACTCAGTGCTTTTGGCATTTTCTGGCCTTCCTGGAGGCCCTCTTGGGGGCCTCTTGGGCCGTCTTGGGCCAGCTTCGAGCCAACTTCGGCCATCTTGGTGGGTTCCTGGCACGTCTGACGCCGTAGGGAGCCGTCTTGGGGGCCTTTCTGGGCCGACTTGGGGCCCTCTTGGGGCGCTTCGGGGCCGTCTTGGAGGCCATCTTGGGCGTATTGGAGGCCATCTTGGGCGTGTTGGAGGCCTCTTGGGCCGTCTTGGAGCCCTCTTGGGGCCGTCTTGGAGGCCACTTGGGCCATCATGGGGCCCTCTTGGGGGCCTCTTGGGCGATCTTGGGGGCCTCTTGGGCCGTCTTGAGCCGTCGGAATGCCGAAAAGGCGCAAATGCCAAAATCCTTCAAAAACCAAAGGAAAATCAATGATTTCGGCCTCGTCGGGCCTTCCTGGAGGACCTCTTGGAGGCCTCTTGGGCCGTCTTGCAGGCCTCTTGCGGGCCTTTTGGGCCGTCGTAGACCATCTTGAGGCCATCTTGGGCTTTCTTGGGTGCATCTCGGAGCCATCGTAGCCGTCTTTGAGGCCATCTCAGCTGTCTTGGAGGCATCTTGGAGGCCATCCTGGGCCATCTTGGCCGTCTTGGAGGCCATCTTGGGCCAACTTGGGGCAACAAAGGCATTGACGGATGGATTTTCGGGAATCTCCCGGGACCCCGCGGGACGGGCCGAAGCCCCAGGGCGAGTTCTTCTGGAAAAAGAACCAAAACCAAAAGCCATATAATTTGG